GTTCGCTTCAAATACTGAGGTTTTGGTCGTCACATGCAGGAATAAAATTTATGCGGAAGATAAAGTAAGAGGGAAAAAGTAAAGGATGTCTACCTTGTCAAGGGATCACTCATAATAATAATGACAAATATGAATATGTACGAACCTGGTATATTAGTACAAAAAGAAGATTTCAAGAGTTCTACTTTGTTTTACAGTTAATGAAATAGATGCCGGACCTTGTTTGGATCAATCATTGATAATCTCATTGATATTTGGTAGTGACATAAAGTCATCAAGGAGACTCTTGAACCATGTTTTAGTTTTACTGAAACGGAGGCTTGCTGTGAGTCTGTTTCACATTATTCAAAAGAAAATAACGAAGAAATTTGACTTAAGTTTGTGTACTTTCTCACAATCAACGAACACTATCTTTATTGTGAAGGTTGTGGGATGGTACGACAGAGTACGACGTGGTGGCTGCTGATGAGTAAGAAACGGCATTTATAAACCTGTGAATAAATACAAGGTTTGATTTATTGCGCCTGATCTAATAAGGTTCTAACTTAAGTTGATAACATCCTCGGTGGTAATCTCTGTTTTCGTGATAACCCAAAACAGCTTTAGAGAATTTTTGAACACCTTCGATTTTAACGAAATTATCTGGCCTGAAATTACTATAAATAAAAATACGACATTTAAAAAAAGTGTGGTGCACTCTTCATATAATAATCCCGGTTCGATTTCATTGAAATTTATTATCAGTAATCCAGTGAGTTTTCTTACTTTGGATATTTGGGATGCAGTGTGCTTGGAAAAGTTCAAACTTCTGCCATGCTCTAAATCCAAGTCACGAACAGTGTCAAAGGGTTTCAGTACGTATTTATTTAGTACCGGATGTAGACCAGGATTGCAGCGAATGTAAATAATTCCACTTTTATCAGAATTCGGTAACACTCCATTACATAGTTCAATAATATAACTTGTCTTCTTGGATTACCTCTAAAATATAACCTCCTGTGGTCGGAGACGGGAGTAAGTAAATATGTTAATTAAAAGTAATCGAATCGATTTGCTGACTAAGAATTCCGAGATGGTGCACTTCAGGCCAGGAGGGACTGGATGAGTACAACTGAATGCAATACATTGGCAATTCGTTATTAGAGGCCAGTAAAACACAAAGTAATCATCAGTCACCGCAAATGTCACAGTAAACCACTCTAAAGTCATCGGCGAAAAGGGAAAGGTTTACCTTGTCGAGAGTGAGCACACGTCACTAATTACAAACAGGAAGTAACAAGCCATCCACACATCCTTTCATAACCCCACTGGTTGTATTGATAAGCTTAGGGTACCAAGATCCAAAGTGAACGGTTTGGTCACATTCTGTTAAAAAGTTTCGAATCAGGATAAGTGAGGATCCTGTATGATGAAAGTTTTAGAAGAAGAAGAAAGTTGTTTGTGAGATACCATCGAAGGCTTCACTAAAATTAAAGTATAGAATCATCACTGACTGACTAACAGCACTTCACTGGATGACTTGACCACATTCCACTGAGAAATATTGCCGAAATCAACTTGAAATTGTTTCTGACACTGTTTGAAACGTACACAATGCATCACCTTGAAGTTCATGATATTTTTGCACCCTGAGTCTTCAACAGATATATAAATCTTTTAGAGCAATAATAGATTCGGTCAGTTGAGTGACAGGGCTAAAACATAGGTCTTACGTGAACAGATTTCAACACTAATTCTAGCTAAGCTATAGGAGAATAAAAAGTGGTCTGACGATGGTATGCTTAAAACTTAGTAGACCAAGCCACCACAATAAGAGATTATTACTAGAGCATTATAACCATGCTCCTTGAGATAACTCTGAGAATATTGCAGATCAGACGGCTAACATTCAGGTACGCTCTCATTTTTCTGATTAAGAGTTGTCTCCATTGGGAATGCTCTGTTGTCTAACGTGACCAAAGCCTTATCATTTGATAGCTTTAAGAATTACCGTCTTACTAGAGACCAGCTGTCTGCTGCATATCCCACTAATTACCACGCCAATCATTACCGCACATCAGTAGTCATTCTCTATCTCAAATACTACCATCTTCATTTTTCCCCTTATTTTTTCAATTCCGTTTTATTGCACATTACCGGCTACGTAAATTATCCATTATTTATTCTTGAACTATTTGTCTTTTCTTAGCACTCGAACTATCACTTTATTTTCACATTAAAACCAAGCTGCAGGTATTCACATACCCCAGCGTCCCGAAGTAAACGCATTCACTCAAACCACTACATATACAAATCCGAAAATGCCCCTCAGATTGACTGGTACTAGTCCAGTCGTGTATAGAATGCCACTAACTGGACATAACCTAGTACTTAGAACCGTAAAAAAACAACAAAAAGCAAGTGTGAAGGAATCAACCGGTTTGCACAGTCCCATTACAAAGATATTTGATAATGAAACCAGTGGAAACCAACCGGACTGACAAATATTAGTGTATTCCAGAGTCCAAAAAATACTGATATAACAAGGAGCTAGTGTGAAAAAGTCGATTTTAATAATTGGATTCATTAGTCCATCTAAGCTAGTCCACCACCGAAAAACCTGGAAGCACTGAATAGCTGTATCGTACTAGGATGGGACTCAGCAGTGCGCATCCACGATCCCTTATGTGTGACTCGAACTCAATACATTCAGTCTAGCGCATAGGCCCTTTACTTCTAGACCACTGAGCCTGCATCCAACGGAGTTAATATCTAACTTTAATCTATTCGTGATCTTGTGCAACACTTTATTCACTATCTGAGGTGGGTAACATTCTGTACAAGATGAGGATTGCACTCCACTTGTCATGGAGTTCTCGTGAGAACTACGGGAAATCCATAATAAAGCTAGTTGTTGGGCTACCTTATAATATGACTAAAATCTCCACTAATCCCAATCATGACCTTAAAAAATGAACTGACTTGTATAAGCCCATCTTAGATGTGATAACTTCCCTCACCATCATGCAGTGCTGATGTAGTACTTAAGGTTTCGGACTGTACAGTATGCTCCTGTCAACAGGTCACGAACCGTTTAAGTACGACCACCGAAACACCTGGAATATATGTTAAAAGACCATAGCTAGATGCCGCACAACTTACGAAAGAAAAATGGCACTAGATAACTTTGCTTTTCCAACACGACTATTTTCGTATATCAAACCAAGAACAAGACGTAGTGATAGTATTCTTCTTTTGTTGTTGCAGGAAGACTGGTATATACTAGCCAAGTCAGGTTTGGTCAAAGCTGAGACTTTATCGAACTTTTCAGTGGAGTCTACTCTACGGTTATTGTTAACAATACTTGTAATAACCACACCACTTGGATACCAACTGCAGGACTTGCTCATATGACTGAGCAAGCTGTTATTGCAATCGATCATCAACTTCAGACATAGTAAGAAACCGGATCCTGATGGGTTACATCAACGATTGTTGTCATCTTCCGTGTACATCATTTCAGAACCACTCAGGGTGTTGTTCAGCATGACTCCTTCCCAAACTTAACTCTCTAGGAGTTGAAAAGGTGCTATAGTTATCCCTACATTTAAAAGTTGGAAAATATAGGCCGAATCTAACTATAAACCTGTCATTTTAAACAGCATAGTACATAAGTTACTTTAAAAAAATCATTCTGACTCATATTCAAGACCTCGTGGAATCAAACATTCTGTTAACTCGCGGGCAAAACAGGATTCGGAATGAATATTCATGCCTAACCAACTTACCAGTTTCGAGAAAGGACTGAAGAGAAGCCCAATGCAATGCTCTGTCTCTTGATGTTATATCCACAAATTTTAGCAAGGGATCTGGTGAGATTTCTGTTTTTAGCCTCATGCAGAAGCTCTCGAGCTTCGGAATCATTGGTGCTGTGCAAGAATAGGTAAGAAACTTCTTCTGTGGCCAAAGTTAGAGGGTTTCAGTAAATGAGACACTATCCGAATGAAAGCCGGTCAAAAGTGATGTAACCCAACGAACCTTTAGATTCCCTGCCTTTTCTTCTCTACGTCGATATACCACCACTATTCTTTAAGACACAGGCATTAATGTTTGTAGACGACGTCAAAATCTGGGGTACATTAACGAGTGAAGTTAATCGTCTCAATCTCCAGGCCGATCTGATAGAATTAGTAAAGAGGTTTCAAAGTCGGAGCTTAGACATCATTTCTAGAGGGAGTGTGTTAATGCACATTGACCATGGTACTAGTTCCCAATATACTACCAACAGTATATCTCTTCCACGCGTGGAGAAACATAAAGACTGAGGAGTAACCGTTAAAGCTTCCAAAGGTATTCGGAGATTAACAATTACTTTACGCGTAAAACCCTTATAATTGGAGTATGTCAACACAGACAAAGCAGAAGTCAGAAATGAGATACTTCGAATATATATTTGAAGGGCTATCGATATTTTGAGTTTCATCTAAGCTAGCTAACAGTTGTGAAGGATGTGTAGCACGGCGTACCCAGTTAGGGTTTAGTGAGGATGAGTAACAGTGAGCCTTCAACTGAGTGTGTCCAGTAAAACTAATATTAGCAAAGGGTCTTTTCGAACTCTCTAGCAATGAACGTTTTAAACACCTCAACCTTTTCTCTTTATCGAATGGTAGAACATGAGGTGACCTTAAATTAGCATTCCATATCTCTCGTGACGATTTGGGTATTAAAATGTCTGATCTTCTTCCACTCTTCAGGACTAATCATCAAGGCAATATAGAGAAAGGTTCAAAACCGCCATCTCATAAACTTAGAGTGCGATTCCTTTTTCTTATAGAGCAGTTAATGACTGTAACGCCTTATCCGAACAACTGGTCTCAACCTCATCAGTGAAAATTTTCAAGGAGAAACTAGACAATCTGCAGCGTTTAACACAGGCCCACTGATCTACTATCCTCTTTACTGAAGACTGGATGCTGAAGGTTGAAGCGCGAGGGCGGAACTTTACGTTACTTTATGAAAGCATGACAAACAATCTCGTTGTTCTGCATATTACTCGCTTACCCAAATATTTTGGACCATCTGAATTGCGAAAATACATTGAGCAATTTGGAAAAGTTCATGATCTTCATATACCAAAGTCTAGAAAGGTTTGTTTCTTTCTTGCTATCAAACATTTGAATAGACTGGTAAATGGAAAGACAGTGCTTTTGTCCGAATGTCGAATGAAGTCGCTCCTCTCGTATCCTCGACATTAAACAACTTGCTGCAACTCAACAAAATAATAAAGTGTAAGTTATTTACACACTTAGGTTTATTTGGACACTGTGAAGTATCCAGTTCCGAAGGTGGTCCTCATATATGAGATCTCTGATTACTTTCATGATCTATCAAAGTTATGCCAAACGAAGCCAAATTTTTGGCTACAAATAAGGATGTCAAAGATACTTCGCATGATTACCCACGGATCTGCGTTTTCCCAGGCTCCATACTTTTAGACGAAATTGCGTGGGACTATAATTTACGGACGACCTTTGATCCATCTAGAGTGACCTTGAAGATGTTCACCTAATAACTAGAACTAAGTAAGGGTTGTAAACCAGTGTAAGAAGTTAGAATTATGGTTTGTAGTTGATGGTCAAGGGGAGTATTAGATTGAGAGTCTTCACGAGCTGACATCAGCTAAAATGCCTAAACGCTATTTAACCAAATAGATAAAGGATTTCACACCAAAACTTGATGTCTTATGCCTGTTCGGTTCGTCCATGAATTATAGTCTCGCCCCAATTACCTTTCAATATAAATGTCGTCTTCGTTTTAGCTTGCGTATTGAATCAGCCTACATGTACTCTATCCTACGTAATTAGCTCCAGTTCTAATTGATTTCTGACTTAATTTTAGATTTGCTTGGTATTCGATTTTCCCCATTGAATCAAATTACAAAATTGTCGTCTTCAAAACCCATCTCAAGCAACATGTTAATTCTTTCACCACACTGATGAGACTCCCAAGTTAAGTGGACCGGTCAACACGCCCAACTGCTTCACTCCCTATCATTAGTTCAGGTGCCGATGCAACCCAATTCTGAAGTAACATTTTGCACGTCGAGGGGGAAAATCGCATCCCGAACATGCCTGCATGGTTGTTTGTAGTGGTCAGAAGACTGCATTTTGTCGGCGTCTGTTCTGCCCATCTATCCAATCTCCTGAATTGAGAATGAATGATATGTCCATCTTTATCTGAGTTAGTTTCGCTGATAGTTGGGTTCCTAATGCCGGTTTCCTTAACAAGTCTGAATAGCTGCCTACTGTTACCTATTGCCGCTGCCTTTTCCATCTCTCTTGCTTTTGCCACCCACCACTGTTCACGATCAGTGCGTAGGCTTCTTATTAGCCTTCGCTTAAGCTGACTCCGCTCTTCGTTATGTTCAGAGCCAGGTGGGATGAGTTTTCGAGCATCTATCAGTGCGGTAGATGCTGCTGAGATCCATTGTTTCTCCCTAACGTTATGGTTTACCGTACTTGCAGATATCACTGCTATTTCCACTGCTTTTCGGATGTCATTTCACGCTGCCTCGGGGTGGGCACAATTTACATGGCTGTCTGACTGTTTTTCCAGTCGTTCCTGAAATATATTCTTAGCTTGCCTATCATTAAGTAGAACCCTTAGAGGCTTCCCTGCAGTGTCTTTCCTACGACCAGTAAGACGCAGACAGATACGTGCTCGCACTAGTGCATGATCTGAATCTAAATATGTGCTCCAGAATGAGCAACAGTCTTCTCTTGAGCCCCTCCATCGGTGGCTGATAGCGATGTGATCTAATTGGGTCCAACGTTGGGACGAATTCGGGGGTTGCCATGTCAAAAGATGTTTTTTCTTTATGCTCAAAGTTAGTATTTGCAAGAAACAGGCGGTTATCTGAGCATAGCTGCAACAGATGGTCGCCATCATCAGTTCTCTTAGCCGCGACACCATAAGGTCCACCCAGGTGTCTTTCCCTTTTTCACTTAGTTTACCTACTTGAGCATTAAAGTCACCAACTACTATTACTTGAACTGATGTCCGTACGTACGTTCTAAGTTGTGACTGACTAACCCCCAAATCATGAAGTATGGCTAGGTAAATCTTACTACAGCCTGTACACGGGCACCTGTCCCATCTGAATTTGTTATACTTTGACGAAATTACATTCAACTACAAATTTTAAGATTGATACTTACCGACCGAAAGTACACAGACAACTTAAACTTGTTTTATTGAAAGGTGACCAATCATTCAGTGGCCTTAAGGAAATAATCAGAGTAACAAACTGTATGCCTCATTTCACATTTTTTAAGATGCAGTCGAGAGTCAAGTTTCGTACTCAGATAGTGACTGAGTGTATGAATCACTGTCTTCTGAGTTTTGCATCGACCGTGTCGGGTCGATGAACATCGATACCACAACTGTTTTGGACCATAGTCCAACCTACATCGTCTGCTACGATGACGTTTACTGATTCACGAGACATTCCAAGAACGTTTCTTAAATTTTATTGCAATTTAGGTCGCTGGGTTCAATCAATACCACTGCCCGACTGCAACTTTAAATCGCACTAACTAAAAAACTAAGATAAATCTTCCCAGTAATTGTCATTCTTTAGAACGTCGCTGCATATAAAATTGTTAGTGTACCAAAGTATAGTCTGTCTCATATCTAGCCGTATGAGGCTTACAAATGTAAGCCTACTGTCCTCTCAAGATAACTCGTCTTACTACAAACAACTATTTCTCTCGAATTGTATTTTGGACGCCTTACATTTTTGATTAATCCGTTGCCACGTCTACTAATTTAGGGTTTGCCTTGACAATTTTATCTTGCTGTGCTGATAGGGTATAAGGACTTAAACCGATATGTACGTGCCAGGTGCTACGTTTTGTCTGACTAACTGATTTCTAAATTCACAATTATACCAACCACCTACTTCGAAACCTCGGACCTTTCATTATCTTTGTTAATATTGTCTACTCCACCACAATCAGTTACTTTATAGCAGTCTATTTTATCATCCTAATGTGAAGAATACTCACAATTCAACAGAAAATAAAGATAATTTCTCTTATCTTGCATTTGTTACTTGTAGGATAAAAATCCTGTTAGTGTACTACCAGAGTATATATTATCTAAAAATGCGACGTCTTAGGGAAGAGACCAAATTCTGCTAGTTTAAATAGTACATACTGTCACATAGCTGCATATCTTATAACTTGATGGATAAACATACCATAAAACTTCATTGTATTCGCTATTATCAGCAGTACTAATTTGTGTTGCTACTGTACTATGAAAGGTCAGCTATGTGGAAATCGTGTTACTGCTGACCTGCTTTCAAGCAGTGATAATCCTAAAGAGAAGCATTTTATTATATGGAGGTGTTGCATTCAGTTCCATATTACGGAGTGACTGGTAGAGAGTCATTAAAAGAAAATATTGAACATCCAACCCGTCCTAGTATAGGACTCCTCAGGAGTGTGCCTCCACCACCTCAACAAGGATGGATAGGTGCCTAGAAAAAAGTCAGTCTGGGATGTGCTATTCCAAACATATTTTAAATTACTACAACACAATGGTCTACATATGGAGTGTGAGTATTATCTATTGTATTATTGATAGCAACACTACTCAGCATCTTTACTAAGGGGCAGAAACTTAGCCACATTTCTGCAAGACAAGTTATTTTACTTTGGATAAACTTTCGTCATACATCATTGTAACATGAATCTCTTAATTTGTTCATTTTTACGAATAGGTGAAATCTTACCAGACAATAAAAGACTGTTTCGAACAAGTAAATACCTACGAAGTTCAACTCGTGCATCACATGAAGAAAATCAAACCATAGCGACAATAAAACGTGTTACAGCCCTGAACGTCCTCAAGGGAAAGGATTTTACCAATAGTTCAGTAAGAAAATCATTACCCCAAGCTGTCCGAAGGCGTAAACATAACTTTCAGAAACGACTTGCAGCAATCAAAAAGACCAACTTGAATTTCAGATTTCATGAAGCTAATATATCATAAAAATTTCTAAATCCAATAGAAAAAACTTATTTCCAAATGATGTTTACTGTGCAATTTTGACACTAATTATTATAAAAAGGCACTTTGAACCATTTTTATTGAACTTATAAAGGAAGTAGAAGTACAGAGAAAAGTTACGAAATCATGGTGCACAGCCAAATTTTTGACAAACTGGAAAGATTTTCCACCTTTAAGGATGAACACTCTAGTATGTGTAGCAAACGCGATAATAGAGGGTTTTCGACCTCCATAGGGAAAAGGAGTTGTCGAATTTAAAAACATATGTTCCCGCACCTGGATACAAATGAGATCCACAGCACACTTCATTTTGAGAGTTCTGTCGTGTAATAGGTATGATCTCGTCAACTAGGATATTAGACTTTTCTGGATTCTCTGCCTTGGTTACTTCTGAGTGACCATCTGGAAAAAATTAAAACACTATTAAAGTTTCTTCCTGTATATAAATCATTTTGTTGTTCGAACGGAATCACATGACCAAACAATCGAAAGATAAGTATCTTTACTACCAACGTTAAATTCATTATGTTCCATGTATCCGACAGGAAGTGAAGTACTTCAGTGCGCCAACCACTTCACTTATCTTGGAAGTCTCATCAACCCTGGAGGATTGGTATTCGATAAAATTTTGGAATGGATTTAGATAGGTCAGTTAGCTTTTACGAATTCACTTCACTTTTACAGTAGGTGAGACAGCCATCTCCCAACCAGAGAGCGAGTTTACTGTTGAGCAGCTCACTTCGTTTGGCTCTACGGATATAAAATATAGCCATTAATAATAAAGGATATTTGTAGGCTGGAAGTTTGAAGCATTACTCGTGTAAGTTGGGATTGCTAAGTGAGCAACATTTAAGTTAGGCACAAAGTACTAGGTAAGGATGGCAAATCGACTGGTGAAATAGTTAATCTTGGTCCACTGAGGTGATGGAGATGCGTATTACATATGCCAAACCACCATTTACCTTGATGTCTAATGACGGCTGAGGTAGGAGTATGATGGAAGAAAGCTAAGAGTGGTCAAACTAAAATGTAGCGTCAGTTCGGGAACACATTGACAGTTGAATTAGACTGTGCAAGTAGGTGCAGACCACCTGACTGGGGTTTGCGCGATTACCTTAACCAATCGTTAGAAAATTTGGATGACGAGGCAGGGTCCTTCGCAATATTGCAAGTGCATGCACTCACCAACTTCCCTTAGACCCCAAATCCTCTGATCATCCTCATACGTTTGTTTATCCCACGAATCCATATTTTCTCGAATAGTGTTTTTTTACATGCCTTATCTTTTATACTACCACAAATGTTGTTTCTAATTATATTATCCTGGCATTTCTCTGCGCTATTGTGGTTTGACAATTTGAATCGATGCACATATATGCCAGGTTCTACTATGAGTATGTCTGAGTGATATTTAAATTAATAAGTAATGAATTAGCGAATATTGATTTTGTCTTTTGATGATAGGTTGAAGAAGGCAGAGAGTGATAATAATTAAGATTCAGTTGATCGACAGGTTTATTGATAATGTTGTTCTTGTTACTCCTCTCAACACTTACCTTCGGCACTGACTGATGCAACGTGATTATTTTGTTTCGCTTCAGGATCAGAAAGTGGTTCCGCCCATTCAAAAAACAAACCAAATCCAATGTCGTAGTCGTCTGTAGCGAACTCCCAGACTATACTCGTGCCCGATGGGTGTGTTTGGACACGAACCTGGATCAATGTTTTTCAAAAAGGCAAACGCTTAAAGTATCTATAAGATGAATTTAACATAAAACTGCGAACCATATGCTTTACAATAGGCTTACTTCAGCTTCACAACCACATAACATTTTAATGTTTAGTCAGTCATCATCAACGTACAGTCTGACAGATGTGCCCTGGCCTAAGTTACTGTACCAGATTAGTGTGACCATATGAAATTAACATACATGATAAAATAGATCGGGATAATGTAGTAGCAGCAGTGACCATATAAAAAACTAAAGATTTAGGATATGAAATCAAAGTAAAAATGTAGACAGGAAGGAATCCAAAATATAGGGGAAGATGAAGGGTGAGTGCATCTGTTCCATTGTGAATGACTAAGCAACTTCACCCAAACCTCAGCCACTGATCGCGATTATTGCCCAGACTATAACCAGGTAGTCTGCACCTACCAACGTGGTGAACAGTCAATGGCTTAATTTTAATTCTAATCGGCGCCCAATACACTATACATCCCCAGACTCCGTGAAGAATAAACCACTTCAACCAAACGAGATTAATCAAAATTCAACAAAATGTGAGAACTAACGGAAATTGAAAGATATTTAAATAAACGGACAAGTGAATTTTGAAAGCAAACCGGATGAATCGGCACAAACTAGGGTCTACTACATTTGATGGAAATCAACTATCTCGAAATCCCTAAGCCCAGTTTATATACTCTTGTGATTGTCCATTCGATTCCATCTTAATTGCACACGGAATGTTCTCATCTCCCAGCTAAGAAATGAGGGGGATTTTCAGTTCACTTTTAGGGGGTATTCAAACAATACAGGTGAATGTGAAGTAATTCATGAATACATCCCAAATATGCATCTCCAAAGGGTTTATAATCTGGTGTAAATCCACTTCAACAATGACTATGAACAAATTAAGTTATTTGTATCCATCGTTAAGTTAGTGTTGGAAGTCAATAATTCTGCTGTTTGAAGACTGAGTGCAATGATCATGACAGTGCACGATTGTTTGTAGAGATTGTGTTTTATCAGTTTCGTAGTCCAGACTTATTCAGTAAGCCATTTTCTAAAACGCTAAAATAATCCCATCATAATCTCCAAACGTATCTTTAATCAGATAGCCTGGTCAAAACCAAGTATGTAAGATTTGATTGAGTGGTCAATGATTTTGTTCCAATGTACCTTTTTTCAGTAGACTGGTGCACAGATAACAGATTTATCAACAAAGGATTTCTAGGATAATACTTCAAAGTGATTTCACCTGGAGAATTATTGAAGAGAACTGAACAACAGTATAATACCTTTTTACTCCTGTTGAGAACTCAATATTTCAATTGCAACTTCCCATAGTAAAAGTGTAATTCAGTAAGATTAACGATACATAAGTCTGATAGTAGGTGCGAACTACCTAGCTTGGATCCTCATGATTATTGCGACCAATGGTTAGGGACGTTGAGTGACATAGTTTAGACCTTGTCACAATGTCGCATATATACATTCATTCTATATCTTCTCTTAAACTATGAGTTTCTCAATTATCATATAATCCTTATTCCGTGAATTCATCCTATGCAGGCATGTTCGGGATGCGATTCTCTCCCTCGAAGTGCAAAATGTTACTTCGGGATTGGGTTGCAGCGACACCTGAACTAATGATAGGGAGTGAAGTAGTTGAGCGTGTAGACCACTTCACTTAACTTGGGAGTCTCATCAGCCCTTGTGGTCTGGTATGTGACGAAATCTCAGCACGGATACAGAAGGCTCGTCTAGCTTTCGCCAACTTGCGTCATTGATGGCGTAGGCGAGATATCCGTCTAGCAACCAAAGGACGGGTTTACTGTGCAGCAGTTCGCTCCGTCCTACTTTATGGCAGTGAAAAATGGCCAATAAGAGTAGAGGATATTCGTAGGTTACTAGTGTTCGATCATAGGTGTCTTCGAAGCATTGCTCGTATATCCTGGGACCACCGGGTAAGTAATGCAGTTGTTAGGAAACGAGTACTAGGTAGGGATGGCAAATCGATTGATGAAGTAGTGAAACTTCATCAGTTGAGATGGCTGGGACATGTGTTACGTATGCCCGACCACCGACTGCCCCGACGCGCAATGTTTCATGGTGTAGGAGTAGGTTGGAAGAAAGCTAGGGGCAGCCAGACCAAAACGTGGCACAAATCAATGAAGTCACTGACAAGTGGACTGGGCCATGTTGGTAGGTGTAGACTACCTGGTTGGGATTCGCGAGATGACAGCAACCGATAGTTAGAGACCTTGAATGACATGGCTCAAAATCGTTTGCAATGGCGAAGGTGCATCCACTCTTTGTGTTCTACCAAATTCTAATCTTCTGAATTCCTCATGTCTTTATCTTTTTCTCTTTCCAAATTTATTTCACTGTACTATACTCCTTCAATAATTTCTTAAAACCCTAATCTTTTGGATTTCTGATTATACTCCTACTACTTCTACCACTATGGGATTTGAATCGACAACTGCATCTCTGTGCTAATATGGTATGGCAACTCGAACTGATGTACGTACGTACGAAGTTCTACGTTGTGACTGACTGACTGAATTCATCCTCTGTCAAATCACATTGTCTATACCTAATCTCTGCTACTACCACTGATAGAGTCACTACTTTTACTACTCTGGTGGTATGTCGTGATAATTCCACCCCGCTGCGTTGATATGGTGTTACAATTTAAGAAAATAATCAAGTGTGGCACGTCCTAACTTGTGTATGATTGAATGACGGAGATACAAAACATATCTAAAACATTCCGAATATTTGCAATACTGTTACAGCTTACCGAATAAACTTCACCGCTGTTTATTCGAATAACAGACTCTTCATCTTCAGTTAAACACTGTTTAAATTCTTTAACTTCTCCACGAGTCCATAATGTAGGGGCGTGTACCACCAAAGATGCATTTAGGTAAGGATCAGTGTCAAGGCATTTCTTATCTGAATCAAGAGTTGACAAATCTAACACAGATATACATATTTAAAAACATTGTTTAATAGGTCGAATAAACGAAACATAACAAGATGTAAAAATGAAATAAAGTCGACAATATGGATATAAAATCAACTATATTGGATGGAAAATAATTTCTATTCACCTTGATGACATACAAGCACAGTATAATAGACGATTCAGAATAACCACTAACAGATAATTTAATTTCAGAAACTAACGGAACGAAATACGTTTTTGAAATAAACATTGCCTACTCACTCAAAACGGACATTAAACCTAAACTGTCAATCACCGCCGCTATGAAACCTGTGACAATATGAATCGTACTTTTTGTTAGAAGCTTTACAAAAGCCTTCCCAAGTTAAAAATAAACTATACTCAGATAAAAAGACATCTTAGTGGTTCATGATGATTAGACAGCTGTCAAATTAATTGTAATTTTATTTTGTTTCAAGTCTGTCCAGGAATATCAAATTTACTCTGTATATTTTGATCAGTCTGATCAAGTGCAGTCCTAACCATCAATGGGAAGATTCAAACAACCAATGCAATTGAATTCAAACTTATAATTGTTAGTGATCCCAGATCAAACAATTGCAGCAGTTTGAAAATCAGCATGAACTCAATATCAAGGCTAAAACTTTCATTCCTTAACTGCATACATATGTTTTATACGCGCCTAAAAAGGAATATAATCTGCCTCATTGAATGTGATACCAGAACATGAGTAATCCTATTCAAGAGATATTTCCTTGAGTTCTAGTGGGAAGCAGTGGCCAGTGGAGTTCTACCAAGTCTGTTGTAGAGATATCAGCTCACTGAAGACAATTGATGAACGGTCGCTCAAAATCGTGGATTGGTTGAAGTTAGACATTAACACCGTTTGATGCCAGCTCAGTGGTCTATCGGTTTAGGGATCCGGCTCGGGACTGGTAGGTCCTGGGTTCGAATCTCGCGAGTGCGGGATCGTGGATGCGCACTGCTGAGGAGTCCCATAGTAGGACGAAACGTCCGTCCAGTGCTTCCAGGTTTTCGATGGTGATCTAGCTTCAATTGACTCATGATTTCAACTGTGAAAATACTAAATTCTCCACAAAACCCCCTCTGATCCATAATCCTATTAAGTCATATAATACGATAATAGACATTGATGTTCATTTGAAATAAATTTCTGTTCAGATGAGGAACCGATGTACTTCTTTTATATGAGTTATTATTTACTGATTCTGACCAAAATTTGAAGTGGGACTTGAAAAATTGTGCACTTAGATTACTTGAAGTGTGATATAAACAGTGTTTTGGTTTGTCATAAATATATTCCCATGTAATAATTTTTTCTAACCACTTCATCGTTTAACCATATTTTGATGCTTGAAGTATCCTTTCATGACAAATGAAAGTAGTTTCAACTGCATATTGACAAGCTTCATAGTTCACAGGTATGCAATATTTCTTCTTTTTGAGAAAAAACCTGTTTGCAAGACAAATTTCATTAGTCAACCAAGCAGCACATTAACACCTCCAATATAAATATACACAAACGAACGAAAGTTTAAAAATGAATGCTGTTTTATTTGAACTATATTGTGCAACATGATTTAGAACTGGTTTTAGTGACGCAAATAAGTTCATTCTTCTAAATCTGAGGTTATCGTACTTATACTTCTTAAACTATACTTGTTATTTTTATTTTGACGTAAACTCTGCATGTTTAGTTCCTTTCATTAGTACTACTAAAATGTTAACTTCTTTGTTTGCATTTTATTAAATTACTGTCTTGGAATGTCAACCTAATTTGTACTAAGTTTTATACGTTGATTAACATAACTGTTTTCCTGTTTAAAGCGCCGTATTTTGTATTTAATCCACTTTTGTATTGTTTGTTCGGATCTTCCCATTAATGTTTAGGACTGCGATTGATCAATCTCATATATATCTTCGTATGGTCGCGCGCACTAGCTTTTCTGCTCAAATTCGCTTGATGTACCTGTAGCTTTGTGACCTGCGCTATTCAACAATAAACTGCAGTCGACGCTTCATGTTGCTTTCTGAATTAATACACCGCTGGGATATATTTAATAACAATTATTACGATGATTGATATACGAAGCCTAATGAATTACTTCGAAGCCAAGCTACTACATGTATACATGTTACTTTAACTCAGGCTTAGTATCCTCCAAACACCTTTAGCACAATACTTACAATAGAAGTTAAAAACGCGAATAATACGAAAAAAATGAATAGCCAATGAAAGACGTAAGTTAGTTCAATAAGACTGTGTTTGTAGCATGGCCAAAAAGTCAGCTGATCTATAATTATAAATTTACTTGCGATGAAATTTATTAATATATTCAAAAATAAAAGACGAACCTGAAGTATTTGTATAAGAAAGGTCATTAACAGAAACATCAGCGGATACTGAGTTTTCTTTTTGAATCTCGGGGGAATGTAAAGACGACTCTAACTGCACTGTGCCGTTAAGAACAGATTGATCTTTGATACTGTCCTCCTAGATATTAAGGGAATACAAGCATATATAAACATTCACATAAGTGTGTGTATATCTGAACGAAAAAGATTTCCAACCATCCCAATCAATATGATGACGAAAAAGAGTTAGAAACACGATCTCCTATTACTTAAGTGTAGAAAGGAACTATAATAAACATACAAAGGTAACCAACCACACACAATATACAGGATCTCGATAAGTTATTTGTATTCCACCCTTTATTGAGTGATCATAGTGAATCATGTTGATTTCGACTGGCTGTTACCAACATAATGCAAACTAATTGATAAGTACGTGGATCATTTACATCATAATACCATAAGCGAATGACATTCTTCTTTTACACCTTATAAGTTTGTACAATATAAAGTGCTTTTCATTAAATTGTCAACACTTGAAATCATTAGATCATATAAAAGATGAATTTTAAAACTGTACCTTGCAAAATTAAGTTAATTATTGATCACTAAGAAAATAAAACCTAACATTAGTAAACCTATAAGTAGTATGCTTTAGATAATAACTCTAAACAGTTACATTCGAAGTGCACAAAATCAAATACAGAAGTTGTTATGACGAACATAAAATATTAAATGACTAGCATATACGACACTAGTGGTATGCTACACAAACTTCCAACGAAATAAAAAAAGAGTCTATCACACAATTTCAGAATATACTCACTGATTCGCTAATCCACAAAACTAACAACTGAAAAGACTCAGAATATTTGCAGAGTTAATTGAAGCTTTGACGGACAATGATGCAGTTGGAATAGGCTTGATATTTAGGGAAGAGTTTAAGGTGCCCTATAGAACCAGTCATTAAGATTAAGAGCTTCATGGGACCATATCCAACTTCTGCAAATGGCTTTGAGACGGAGGTTTGGAAGTACTGACTGATTTACGACATATTTAAAAGAAAAATTAGCTTCCCGCAGCACTGATTTGACGAACTTAAGTTGTTGTGGTCGTTATTTTTTTAACTGTTATAAACCTATTTATTCTATCGTAAATATATATGCTTTTTTCTAATTTCTATTATTAAAGAAAGTAGACTAGTGAACACCAACACAACTTACATTAGGAGAAATGGTTTCTGAACAATTGGCAATTTTCTTAACAGTTAGACTGTCAATTGACTTTACATTATCGACTGAATAATCTTCAACTGAACCATTCGTTGTCGACATATCGGTTGTCTGAGAGGGAGATTCAATCTGTGATCGCTGAATAAAACGATATTGACGTTGTATGTATGCCATATATTCGTGAAAATGCCGATCTTGCAACTGAGCAATAAGTTCAGCTCTCTGTATATTACAATAAAAATGAAAGTTGTATATATAATAGGCATTTGTTAACCCAAAACTATGACAATAAACCTCATAAATAAAATCATTAATGATTTTATAAATGTATGTATCATGAATGTAAAACAAATGAATCGGCTAGCATGCTCAGTACAAGAATGATTCAAATATGTTGGCTGATCCCTTTCCAAATAATCAGAGTTGGAGGACAATTCCATGCTAGAAGTTTCCCACGTAATCATCACATAAACATGTGGGGTTTCTCTTTGGAATACTTTTTTCTGTCACTTATCTTTGGAATATATCATGTGTCCAGATGATTTCTATCTTCAATTGGGTCGAGTAAAGTGCATTAATCGAAGAATATAAACAGGGTAGAGTGTGACAAAAGTACTTGCTATAACGGAGTGGATAATGTGAGGGCAATAACTTTAGATACCAACTGAGGTAGAATCATTGTTTATATTTTTATTTTAAGCATATTAAAAACTTTGATTTGTAAGAATATTGTCAGACAGAAATTAGGCGCCGAAAACAGAGAAGACACTATTTAAGAAAATTATACTTGAAACAATTAATAGGAGTATTAATCTCACTGCAGAGAATGAAGACTAATACGTTAAATTGAATGGAATTTCAGTTACACTTGGGGCTAACAATTACCCCAAAAGCTTTTTGTTATAAACGTAAGGAAGCCGTCGCCAATTGTTATAAACGTAGGATGCTGATTATAACTCTAGGGGTTTCTGGTTATAACAGTCCTTTCACTTTTTACACGTATGTGGGACGTTAATTCACCTTAGATGAATATCTACACTAGATTCCCACCCAGTGTCTATTCTACAGGACTTCAACACAACTCAGATCAAGAACACGAAATTAGCCTGACTATAACGTCAATATATTTCACACCAAAATCCGACACGAGGAACAGTCAATCAATAAGTGTCCATCAACCAGGAACAGTCAATACATAATGAGGAAAGGGGAATATATATAACACATATAACACCTGTCATTCTGTCTAATGTCTGACTCATCAAGACAACCAATCATTGTCATTCTCGCCCACACATCACTTTTGAAGAACATTAGAAATGAAAGAACTAAATTATTGCATACCGAAAGATCACCGTGGTCATCCTATGCCTTGGAGAAACATCGGGAGAAATTAAGAGGATTTTTAACAAATATAACATAAGTGTTATAAACAAAGATGGATAGTGGCTAGCAATGGAATACAGGACGCGCGTTTCGTAGTAATTAGGATTCGTCAGATGGATGTACCTGCATCTAGTAGTTGGTGTTTACTCTGAGACTCGAACCCAGTACCGTTAGCTAGGTGAATATCGCGATGGCATTTGAAGCGTAGGACGAAACGCGCGTCCTAGATTCCACTGCTAGCCGCTATCCATCATTGTTTATAATGCTTGTAGATTAAGGCAATATCGAGGCAATACGCACAGTATGCACATATGGCCAATAAGAGACTTATCAATTACAGTCCTAAACATCAATGAGAAGATTAAAACAAACAAGAACAACAAATTAAAAGACATCGGCTAGCCTCACCTGTGTTCTCGTTCACAACACTGGGGTATAGGAGAAGGACTTCTGGTTCAATAAGCATCTAGATTATCTGGACCGCAGCTCCAGATTAATTACTATCAATCAAAGTGTGTAACCGATCAAAGCGTAGGACGTTGGTTCATAGACCGAATAGAAGATTATAAGCTAGATTTTTATTGGTCCAATTGTTTTTTATTGGTGAAACCTCACTCCAAACTACACATTGGAGCCTTCAACGTACGTACCCTATGTCAAATCGGCTAACAGGCCTCCTTGGCCAAGACCCTAGAATCTTGTACGACCGATGTATGCTGTGCCTCTGAAACACACATACAGGATCCTAGTGTGGTCATTCACTTGACCTCACCTCTCCAAAATTGACAGTCGACGAAATACGCCCTCCGTGTATCTGGCGATCTGATGGCTAGTTCTCCTGGACATGCAGGTGTAAGCATAGCACTTAGTACGAGGACAAAACAAGCACTATTAGAATGGATCCCCGTTAACAGTCGCCTGTGTTCTAAAACCTGACGAATAGTGAATTTGTGGACGATACATCCCCGACCAGGTCTGAAGCCAGCCTGATGTTTTCGTGTTTGCAGTTCACGAGTGTTAGTTAGGCGCCCGATAATTATTGAGGCTAGTATTTTAGATACGATATTAGTCAAACTAATCCCTCTATGTTTATCACAGGCTGATTTCGACCCCTTTTTATATATTGGGACAATCAGTGATTGTGACCAGTCGGATGGGATTACGTCCAACTCCCAGATTTTAGTTAAAATATTATTCAACCTAATCGCTAAAATTGGACCACCATATTTAAAGACCTCTGGAACCAATCCATCTGGATCAGCTGCTCTTCCCCGTTTAAGATTAGTTACAGCCTTTTGAACTTCAGCTAGAGTCGAGAAACCTACTTCAATGTCCCATTCAGACTGTTTAGGAATGGTGGGTGACTGTAGAGTAGATGAAGGCCAGCTAAAGTGTTCCGCCCATCGTTCTAAACGTCTGGACTGAGAGCAGATAAGGGTTTCGTCTTTTTCTGAGATTGTTTCACTTACACTTGACTTCTTAAGACCGGTTTATTTTACTAGTCTGAAGAGTTGTCTGGTGTTGCCTTTAGCCGTTACCTTTTCCATCTCTTTTGCTTTCGTTACCCATCACTGCTCACGATCTTTTTTTAGACTTTTGGTTAACCTAGATCTGATTTGTTTACGCTCGTCGTCGTGTTTAGAGTCTGATGGGATGAGTTTACATGAATCCATCAGTGAAATAGACTTAGAAGAAATCCATTGGTTTTTTGGAACGCCTTGGTTTAAATTACCAATAGATGTTACTGCTGTTTCCACAGCTGTTTGTATATCTTTCCAACCGATTACCACGACGCGCTATGCTGATTAATATTGGCGACGGTTGGAAGAAAGTTAGGGCGGCCAAACCAAAACAAGGCATCAGTACTTGAAATCACTAACTTTTAGTCTGAGCCATGTCGGTAGGTGCAGACTACTTGATTGGGGTCCGCGTGACTATCGTAATTAATGGTTGGAGACTCTAGGTGACATGGCTCAGGTGTATACACCCTTTACTTTCCCTTAAACTTTGAGATTGAAATTGCTTCATATCTGTCTTTCTTCCTGTATTATATCCTTATATACAACCTTTCTTTTATATATTATTACCACTAAATTAACTACTATGAATTCGGTGTTCATCTTGCTGTGCTAATGAGGTTTGGCAACCTGGACCGGTGCATATATGTGCCTGGTCCTACGTTATGGCTGACTGACTGACAGTTGAAACTAACGAGTGATACTAATTAAGCCCCCGAATGCCGTGGTACGGCCGAGAGTGGGGAGAGTCCACTCTCCCTCTCGAAATGCTCCCACATGGCCACGCGTATACAGCGCCACTGCCACGGAAGTCCTACTCACTGCCTTCTCGTGCCATACTGTTGTTTACGAAATTGAAAGGACGAAAAGCGAATGTCCGGCGCTTTAACCGGGTTGGTGGACACGGAAAGTCCACCTAGGGCAGTTGGAAAACCTTCACTCTAAATCAATGGTGCACATGGGATCCACGATCCTGAAGTAACAAATGGCGTATGCATCAATCGTTGGTCACAGACTATCATGGGACTTCATCTCCTCACGAAGCTTCACTACCTTGTGGATCAGATCCTTAGGTCAAAGGCTCCGGGTATGGCCCTAAGAAAACCACCTGCTTCGGTTTGGGCACCTAGGCAGTATTACAGCCTTCACACAAATCAAATGAGATTTGTGTAGCGCATATGTATCTGGTGCCTCTTTGTACCAATATTTATGTGTTTAAATAAATAAATAAATAAATAATAGTGGATAAGCAACAATCGTCTGTATCACAAACTACCATAGCTACGATCGTTGTGAAATTGTAAATTTTCGTAAACGTTCACAGTATTAAAACTACACGTAAATGTATATTTAGGCTTTAGTCAAGAGACTAGTCCTGGTGACTTGAAATACATGAAGGTAGATTTAAACGAAAACTGTTAAATAATACCTGATGGAGAAACAATTAGATTAGACAAAAAGTTCATAAAAGGTAAATTGAACACACTGTCATCTAAGAATAATTTTCAGAAAAGCATCAGTAGTACTAGTAACTAAATGTTTTTAGACAAATCAGAACAAACTCAAGTATTGGGCATTAGAAGACACGAAGGATTTATGATATATTACATTAATGTACCAAACACTAAAACTAGACTTCCCTCTTTAGGCAAAATTGAGTTCCCTAGACATATGCTAGTTGTCAAGGTATTTCCAGTAACACAGCAACTATGTCTGCAATATTTTTTGAAGTATCAATCAAGGCACTCATAAGCGTATATAAAATTGTGGTGAATCGATCCGTAGATTTATTGTCTAAACGTATAGTGCTATACAACAGATTTAAAATATGCACGAAATAGTTCCATAGGATACAATCAAAAGGAGACGTAAGAGTTCCCCTTTTTATTAATAAGGATATATAAACATGACATCACAGATAAAAAAAGTAAGCTATCAACTGTTCCTAGACTATAAGATCAACGGAAAATTATAATATAAGCAAAGAATCATAATAGGTATCGTCAGAAATTCTTGCACTTGTAGAAATAGTTGGTATAATTTTATTTTTGAAGTAAAGTTAGCTAGTTTTTTCTAAGCTTTCAGTCACGTCGGTGACAACGGCTTCGGCTTTTTTTCGTACACTTATTTAATCCATAAACATGGTATTCTCATTGAAATCGGAAGAACTGTTGCAAAAATATATCTGTAGAGATATCGGAAGAGGGCTACTATGAGCTGTATTTATTTCGATGCACTATTTTATTCTATTCTAAAGGTTGTTCTTGTTCATAAACTGACACACTTCATTGAAAAGTAATCTACAGACCACGAGGAATTGCCAGAAAGTTGTGCAGAATAAAGTTCTTAGAATTTTTAACCCAAAGGAATTATATAACTGTCAATCTTCTTTATTAAAAAAATATTTTCTCAACTTGTAAGAAACAGAAAAAAGAAAATACTAGGCTCATACGGTATAAATTATGATTAAGAAAATGACAAACCTTAACCGCATCCGTGGGATAATGAAGGGATGCATAAGATTGGAACTGACTTTCAGTTTGAGTATTTAAAGCTGCTCGAATTTCAGATCTGAAAAGGAAGATGAATAAGATAAATGATACTGTAAAATATGCACATTGTTACATGCAGCTAGTCACTTCTCTAATAAAAAAGCAACTACAAAAATCCAAGAAATATATTTAAACAACAGATGTTTTGGACTACAAGTATATTTTTAACCCAACTCACTCTCTTAAATTCTGAAATAATTAATTAATTATTCGCTGGGGAAAATGTAACACTTCCAACTATCCAGCAAAATCATTTATGAGGTTTAAAACATTTAAAATATAGTATCTGATATCCCATCAAATGTTTGATTGGGAATGGTTCATAAACATTTTCAGTAGTTTGAAAATATTCGCTTAATATTTTTTTACTTTAAATTTATCAGGAGGATGGGTACTTGTGTTAAGTAAATACACAACATGAAAAGTTCGACACTTAAACACCGCAGATTGGGGACAAAAGTTACTATATAGATTTTTTACAGGTTTCATTGAAGACTATTATACATTTCGTAAAACGGTTTAGAACTAAAAGCTTAAACTCAAAAAAAAGCAAACCATCTAGGTTTTTTTAAGTATTTGAAAATATTTTAGTTCGAAATTAGTTTCAGAATCTAACTAATAACTCCGATTTCGAAACTTTGAGCACTTACTCATTTTTCAAAATAAAACAAGATTGTTCACTATTATCGATGGTGCCAGTAGGTTCATCCGAACTAGAAACGTTAGTTTCTCTAGAATAAAGTAGTAAAAAAGGTATAGGGAATTCTGTGTGAAAAATCACAAATATTTCATTGCCTGTGTCAGAGACAAGATTTTTTACAGAACAGATAGATACTTTAGGTACCAAATGAGTAAATTTATAACAGAAATGCTAATAAAGCACACATGTGTGTTTCTTACATTCTTGTAACTTAATGGCTTGTGAAAAATTTACATGCGTTATCAGAAAACACTGGCAGGAATAATCCTATCAAACTTTGATAAAGTGTGAAGGCTGAAAAAGGACTAGGATCGATTGCATGTTAAAATAAGAAGGAGAAATTTTTGGATACCGACAAAGCATCTTAGTAGTCAAAAACCACGTTTTAAAAAAATGGATTGAGCATTTACCATCCTTATGATGGTTAGTTTCCAGTCGCATTTAAACCAGTCATTGAAGCATTGCCTTACAATCTGAAGGGACAAAATGACTAGTGAATGCCTCAATGTCCTCCTAAAGAAATTCGGAAGATTTTGTTCTGAACAAAGATGTAGTTAAGCCAACATTAGTTGACAGTTAACCGACTACTAGGTAGTGCTCAGATATTTGGAAGGGAAACGGATGATCACTGATTGTTGGATTACAATTTTGAGACAAATGGATTTTCAACTAATAAGATGAAAGTAAAGTATGTCGGTTGACTGATAATTTGGAGCGATAAGAAATGTTCGAGTGATGGCTGCTCACAAAACTGAATTATTTACGTAGACCCTGAATGACTTTATATCAAAGACAAGGTCACTAGCCAGAAGAATAGATTTTCTTAACAAAATAACATTCTGATACACAAAATATCGATAGAGGAATAGAAATCATTAAATGTCAGTGGCGATGGGAGAAAATCATATTTGCGGATCACTCCTACTCCAATCAAGACCTTGCTGTTCATCACATAAGTTTTTTTACTCCAGTAACAAGAAAATCTACAAATTCGGATTGCAATGTGATGTTTTGAATCAAAGAATTGAACTTTCAACCAATAAATCACAGGTTTGAATTGCATTGCATCTACATTAGTTCGAGCAGTCGGGGACATAGACCTGTTCTTCGTAAACGACTCATACTGAACTTAGTCAAAATTAATAACTTAGATTGGGGTAATTGAAGTAATGTTCAAAATCTTGAGCTTCTGATCAGAATATTATTTTAACAGGCCTGTTTACTCTTATTATAAAACACTCAACTAGAGCCTGAAGGCAGTAACTCTAGGGTTGTCTAAAAACTAGTGACCAAGGAACCCTAGAAATAGTTATATTCGGACAACCAACTAAGTTTTAGTCCTTGAGTGTAAACAAATATTAATGGATTGAGTTTTGAGACGTATTGTGATGGAACCACAGACCTAATAAAACTGGCTACTTCCCATTTCCACCCCTTAGCTATCAGAAAAAACGCTTTAATATTATAAAGAAGTAATGACACCATAACTACGTTACAATCCTTTAACCGACTGGTTACCTAAGAAATGAAAAATACGTGCATATGATTATACAGGATTAAATTTAAGTTTAGTTAAATTTAATTTTCCTAATTGATCTTGATGAGACTAAGTGGTATCCCAAGTGACAGAAGTGTTACGATTTATAAGTGATCATGGGATCTTCAAATGAAGTAGATAAAATTACGATTGTTTAAAATCCTTACTTTGAAAAAAGATCAGCAACACTTCCTTTGCTGCGGGAATAGGCTTCCAAATATGATATGAATAATGGACATAGGTGACAAATCCTATTTATGAACTCCACTTGAGCTTCTTTTGGCTTCATATCACTTAAGGTTTCCCAACGAGCACTAAAAGACAAATGTAGGTCCAAATCTCATTTATGGAGTTTAAATATTTTAACATTACTGTTTGTCGTGTTCTCCTGATCCTATAGAAAACTTACCTTTTATCAAACGTGAGAGTTGATTCGCGTTATAAGTAGTCAGTCAGTCAGTCAGTTACAACGTTGAACTTCGTACGTACGTACATCAGTTCGAGTTGCCATACCACATTAACACAGAGATCCAGTTGTTGATTCAAATCCCATAGTGGTAGGAGTAGTAAGAGTATAAGCATTATGTGAAATATAAGGGTCTGAAGATGTTATTGAAGGAGTATAATCCAATGAAATAAATTTGGAAAGAGAAAAAAGATAGAGACATGAAGAATTCAGAAGATTATAATTTGGCAGAACACAAAGAGTGGATGCACCTTCGCCATTGCAAACGATTTTGAGCCATGTCATTCAAGGTCTCTAACCATCGATTGCTATCATCTCGCGAATTCCAACCAGGTAGTCTACACCTACCAACATGGCTCAGTTCAATTGTCAGTGACTTTATGGATTTGTGCCACGTTTTGGTCTGGCTGCCCCTAGCTTTCTTCCAACCTACTCTTACACCATAAAACATTGCACGTCAGGGCAGTCGGTGGTTGGGCATACGTAACACGTGCCCCAGCCATCTCAGTCAGTCAGTTACAACGTAGGACCAGGCACATATATGCATCGGTCCAGGTTGCCAAACCTCATTAGCACAAGATCAACACCGGATTCATAGTAGTTAATTTAGTGGTGGTACATAAAGAAAGATTGTATATAAGGATATAGTATAGGAAGGGAGAAAGTTATGAAGCAATTTCAATCTCAAGGTTTAAGGGAAGATAAAGAGTGTATACACCTACGCCATTGTGATCGATTCTGAGCCATGTCACCTAGAGTCTCCAACCATTGGTTACGATAGTCACGCGGACCCCAACCAGGTAGTCTGCATCTGCCAACATGGCACAGACTAGAAGTTAGTGACTTCAAGCACTGATGCCGTGTTTTGGTTTGGACGCCCCTAACTCTCTTCCAACCATCCCCTACACTAGTCATCATAGAGCGTCGTGGTAATCGGTGTTCAGGCATACGTAACACGTGGCCCAACCATCTCAGTCGGTGAAGATTCATCACCTCATCAACTGATTTACCATCATTCCCTAATACCCTGCGTCTAACCTCACTATTACTAACCCGGTTATCCCAGCAGATGCGAGCAATATTTCTAAGGCATCTGTGGTCAAATACCAGTAACCTACGAGTATCTTCTACTCTTAGCGGCCATGTTTCACAGCCGTAAAGTAGAACAGAGCGAACTGCTGCACAGCATACTCGTCCCTTAATTGATAGACGGATATCTCGTCTTCGCCATAGGTGACGTAAGTTGGCAAAAGCCAAACGAGCTTTTTGAATCCGTGCTGAGATTTCGTCAGACACCAACCCATTAGGGCTTCCAAGATAAGTGAAGTTGTCGACGCGTTCGACTACTTCACTCCCTATCCTTAGTTCAGGTGTTGGCGCAGCCCAGTCCTGGACTAACAATTTACATTTGGATGGGGAGAATCGCATCCCAAACATCCTGGCATTATTACTGAGTTCCAACAGAAGACTCTGCATTTTGCCAGCGTCTTCACCAAACAGGACTATGTCATCTGCGTATTCTAAGTCGCTTAGTGGTCCCCCTGGTAGGAGATCAATTCCTGAAAATTCAGTCGCAGAGTGTCATTTCCAGCAACAGGTCTATAATGAAGTTAAACAAAAATGGGGACAGTGGACAACCTTGACGGACACCACTTGAGGTTGTAAAATCATATGACAGTTCGCCATAAGCTCTCACTCGACTGGTAGTGTTCGATTAAAGAGCCTTCACAATGTTTATGTACTTCCCAGGTACACGTTTCAATGACAGACACTGCCACAGGATCTCTCGGTCTACAGAGTCAAATGCTGCTTTCAAGTCAAGAAAAACTATCAGTGTTGGACGCCGATAAGCGTGTCTGTGCTCTAAAACTTGACGAATGGTGAATATGTGGTCGATACAGCCACGACCAGGTTTGAAGCCAGACAGATTTTCTCATGTTCGCAGTAGTAATCATTACTGATTATTATACCGCATATAATATACTGTACATTTAGTCATCTGAACCTTCCGTGACATGATAGACTAGTCTACTTTTTCCATTTTAACATCATAACCAATATTCGGTGGTGGTACTCTCAAGGTTTAAAATCTTTCGGATAGCAGGTAATTCGTGAAAATACTCATGAGTATATACGTTTTATTTATAACAACTAAGTAGCGTAATATGATAAAGCCCGAAAGCTCGATAGCCTAATGTAGAGGGTTAATGCCTCTATATAATTCCAACAAATAAATAATATTCCGTCAACTGAATATTTAACCCAGGCTAAATATTCTCGTAGAATTGTGGATTTACTCGAGATTATCCAAAAGCCCAAACACCAATTATAGAGATAGTTTACAGTTAAAGATTGGTAAGATCCGCAAGTGCATACCAGCCAGCCAAGGCTGGTATACAGATAGCAAGCTGACAGGGAAAACAAGTATGTACGAGTGCGTATTGGAAATCTACATATATTTATGCGTGTTAATGGATTGTGCCCCCAAATGCCCTGGTACGGCCGAGAGTGGGGAGAGTCCACTCTCCCTCTCGAAATGCTCCCACATGACCACGCGTATACAGCGCCACTGCCACGGAAGTCCTACTCACTGCCTTCTCGTGCCATACTGTTGTTTACGAAATTGAAAGGACGAAAAGCGAATGTCCGGCGCTTTAACCGGGTTGGTGGACACGGAAAGTCCACCTAGGGCAGTTGGAAAACCTTCACTCTAAATCAATGGTGCACATGGGATCCACGATCCTGAAGTAACAAATGGCGTATGCATCAATCGTTGGTCACAGACTATCATGGGACTTCATCTCCTCACGAAGCTTCACTACCTTGTGGATCAGATCCTTAGGTCAAAGGCTCCGGGTATGGCCCTAAGAAAACCACCTGCTTCGGTTTGGGCACCTAGGCAGTATTACAGCCTTCACACAAATCAAATGAGATTTGTGTAGCGCATATGTATCTGGTGCCTCTTTGTACCAATATTTATGTGTTTAAATAAATAAATAATGGATTGTGGATAAATTATTGATTGTCCGGCGAGACTAAAGAACATGGACGAGCCAAACAGAAGCTTTCGTGGGTTTTTAAGGTCACGGCGCTAAGTTCGGTACCTGATGCTAACGTACGGTCGGTTTACAACGGATTTTAGAGAAAACATGATAATTAAGCGTCTACAAGATAAGTTATCATAAGATTTTGGCGCAAAACTCAATTATACATTTGGACGGAGTTGTGGCATTATAGTTGATGTCAGTTCGTGATGAAAACCGTAAGTATAATTCCTAACCTTAACCATGAACTGTAAATCATAATTTGAATTCTTCACACGGGTTTATGACCCTCATTTAGTCTTAGTTATTACGTTTACACTCTCAGATTCACTCTAGCGTCGCTCAAATGTCGTCCATAATTCATAGTCTCATCTTTAACCCTAAACCGTAACCCTAATCTTAAACCCTGAACCATACCAACATACCGACAACACTGAAACTATGTGGTCGAGGTTGAAAGAATTTTCGGGACTTTATCATGGTCTCAGAGGTCGGCTACTATGGAGCCACAGGGATGAGTTCCTGTGCCGGATGCACTATGATTTTAGAACTTCTGAACCTATATCTAACCTTGATAAGTTTTTGATTCATGTAAAAGAGTTTTATATAATATATTTTTACTGTATGCTAACTGTCTTCTGATTGGCTAATATTTCTCAAGGTCATTTAAGATTCGTTCAAAGGTCGTCCATGTTCTTTAGTCTCGCCGATTGTCCTTTGCTTACGAATGAAAGAATAGATAAACGATTGATGTGCAGACACGCTCAATCAAGCGCTAAATTTGCATGGCGGATTAAATGTCTAAATTATAGCAAACACAAATAATACAATAGTTGAGTGGGCTTGCTACACTAGTCAAGACAAATTACGATCATAATAAGCTAACTGACCCCTCAATAAACCGGAATATTAATTTACAACTATTATCTTCAAAGATCTCCGAATACTCGGGTTTTGCTAGTCTTACGTACAGCTAGTTAATTCATCTTTAACTTGATACAAGTCGGAGAAGCAACAGCTACTTCTAAAGCAAACTGTGGTCAATGATGTCCGTAGATGAGTCATCGGTTCACTTTCATACTATGTAGGAATTGAGTTCAATCATATACACCTAGATGGTTTATGAGACTTGATGGCCGCCATAGTGAATACCCAAAATAACTGATTTAAATTGCTATATGTTTTGAGAGCGATGTTAGAAGTCGTATTTCGTTCCTGGTAAAGTTCTTTTTACTTTAATATTAAGTTCACTGGATAGATGCAGCTGCAAAAATTACGAGACAAAACCTGTGAATCTGCGTTAGACAATTAATAAGATTGGACAGTAAGTGTTAGAAAACCACTTTATACAAAATGCTTCAGCATATTTCAATAATCCGATATAAACTTAGTAGGTATAAGTAATCTACTTTAATGGCTGAAAAGCAGGTACGAATCACAAGTCCTTATTTATGGATCAAAATTTATTGGCCTCATGATGAATCACATCCAAGTACACAGTATTAGGCTAATAATTGTACTTACTTTCTCTTCTGCCCTATAATATCAAGGAAACCAGGTACTGGTGTTTTTGCCCGATCGTACTTCCCGTACTTCTTAATACATATGAGAGCCGAAAGATGAATTCGATCGTCAAAGCTTAAGTGGAACGCCTTCTCAGCTTTCTCTAGATGTCAGATTGTATAATATCCAATTTGAGTATATCTCACCATTGAAAAATGTCTGAGCAAGATCAAATATCTCATTAAAGTCAAGCTTGTACTTTTTTTGAAACTCCTTAACTGCCACGTTTTCTAGACAATCCTCAGGCAGAGATGACATTTTAGTACAGCTTGCCAGCTGGATATGTAACGTTAATATTTAAAGCTCCCACATCATTTTAATAAAGTCACCCATCCACAAATTATTCAAATGCTTGTCGATAGAATGTAGGAAGCTTTCATCTGACAAGCTCCGTATCTAGCATTAATAAAACTCCGATTTTTTCAGGAAGGGACAGGGTATATGAAGTAAATCAAAATATAAGAATTACTAGTAAATAAAGTGCTTTTTCGAGCCCATAGAAATACAACATGTTTTCTTCTGACGGACTACAGGCTCAAATGGTTGAGGACGGAATAGAAGAAGCTTTCGCTTAACGGGCTTCCGTGTCTGGTAGCAGTGGATCACCAATACCTCCAGGCAAGAACTTAGGTATATGAACGATAATAGAGGGAAAAAAAGAATTTGGTAAATCATAATAATATGTTATCCTTAGTCCTTAAGAATAAGTCAAGTTTTCTCTTAAAGGACTCCTGGGAGGTCGCTTGGACTAGCTCAGTCGGCAGCGAATTCCAGCACTTGACAACTCTAACGGAGTAGAAGTTGTGTCTGCAGTCTGTTCTGCTATGTAGGGTCTCCAATTTCTGGGTGTTACCTCTGAGGTTAGTGTTATGACTAAGCTTAAGAAGTTGTTTAAGGGGATGACCAGAAGTATTAAGGATACTATAAGTCATAAGAAGATCACCTCTAAGACGCCTATACTCTAACGGGTAAAGGTTAAGTGATTTGAGGCGCTCTTCATAAGGTTTGAATTTGAGACCCCGAACTGATTTCGTGGCTCGACGTTGTATACGTTCCAGTGTGACCTTATCCTTTTGGAGGGAGGGAGGAAATACTATGTTTCCGTACTGTAAGTGGGGACGAATAAAACTGTTGAAGATTATGTGGAAGGTTCTACCGTCAAACTGGCCAAAAATGCGCTTCAATGTTACCAGTGCAAGGTTTGCTTGAGTGGCGTTTTTGTCACAGTTTGCATACGATTTCAGGTCGTAGGGTACCAACACTCCTAAATCTTTTTCAACTTGGGAAACTTCTAGAGGTGAGTTACCTAAGTTATAACTATAGTCTGCAACATGTCTCAGATGGACTACCTTGCACTTTGAAGTGTTGAAGTTAAGTCCGTTGTCGTCTGCCCAACTTTGAAGTCGAGTCAGATCCTCCTGCAGAACTAGTATATCATTGTGAGTACGTATCTCTCTCGAAAGTTTCACATCATCAGCGAAAAGCAATAAATCAGATGAAACTTGTTGAGGAAGATCGTTAATATAAATCAAGAAGAGAAGAGTTACTTGAACTACCTCAACCTTTACAGAATCTCAAGACTTGACCGTTTGTGATGAGGAGAAAGTACGCCCACAGTGCAGTTTAGTGCGTTGTGCCTCTAATTTCCAGGTATTCCCCTGTAGCTGTAAATAATTCCCCAAAATCAATAGCTTTCTAAGTGTTCGACATTGGATGCTGACCACGTTGTTTAAGTGGACTTGTTTAACTGAAGGCTTTCGGTCATGCATTCGTACCAGATCACATTTCGACTCAGCGTGGGACACAGCTCTTACGTTCACTAGCCAGCTAAAAACAAACGCTTCTCGATATATTGATAACGTATCAAATATACCTTTCCTACCTCTTCTCGTTCAACTTCTGATTTCCATTGGTCGGGAAAAAGCTTCGAATATAGAAGGTGCTACTGGCGGCAGGTTGTATAACCAGAATACTAGTCGTATCTTCAGTGGTGAACCTGACGTGATCTGGTACACTGAGCCAATAAACTGTGAGTCGGTTCCTTTTTGGAATATCATTATTCATTGTTTTTCTTTATTTCATTTATATATATTGTGATTTACCTTTTTTTTCTCGAGTTTTCCCGGATATCTTTTAATTAGACATTTTTCGTTCTTAATATTACTGTGACGGAACAGTCACCTAAAGTATTTAAGTTAAGGACTACTCCCCCGTCATCGATTCAATTAACCCCCTTCTGGCTTGACAATATCGAGTCCTGGTTCTGCTATGCAGAAGCCGACTTTAACGGACACAGAATTACAGACTCATGTTCACGATTCCTCGCGGTAGTTAAGGCGTTACTGTGCGAATTTAACAGGTACGTAACACCTAGTGCGTTAACTAGTGATGTTTCGGAACCTTATGAAACGTTAAAACGATAGATTTTGAGACGTGAAGATCTAACCGACCGACAACGGTTAGACCAACTCCTCAATAATCTCGACCTGCAACATGGTTCCGCGACGGACATGTTGTTAAGGCTGAGAGAAGTAATAGGTCAAAGAACTTTCGACGAAGGCCTATTCAAACAAATTTTCTTATCCAAAACCCCAAAACAGGTGTAAGCAGTTCTCGTCTCGTTACAAAACAACGCCGTAGACGAACTAACCACATCTGCCGATCGAATATTAGAAATAACAAAATCGACTAGCGCTGAGGTTTTTTCCATCAAGTACAAACCTCACTCGACCCCGACTGACATAGCCGAACTATGTCACAAGCTTACACGATATCTTAGGTTTCGCAATGACCGTAGTCGATCAAAAACCCCTCGTAGAAGTGTCTCACGTAGACGATCTGTCTCTTGTGGTCGAGAGACAGTATATATAATAGTAATAATCTCGATTCGATATCACTGAAGTTTATCATTATGAATCCGATGAGCTTTCTAGCTTTGGATACTTGAGATGCGATGTGCTCAGAGAATTTCAAACTGTCGCTATACCTTAAACCCAAGTCACGAACAGTGTTGAGAGGTTTCAGTGTATTTTTGTGTATAGCCAGATTAATGTTAAGGCAGCGGCCAGTGTGAATAAATCTACTTTTCTCAACATTAAGTAGCTAATTCCACGAAATAGTGCATTCGTACAACTTGTTTATTTCTTCTTGGATTACCGCTGAAATATAGCTTTCTTTGGTGGGAAATGAGAATGAATAAACCACTTTTAGCTCATCGGCAAAAAGAAAAGGTTTGCCATATTGAAAGAGGGAACACACGTCATTGATAAAATGGAAAAATAGTAATGGACCAATGACACTTCCTTTATAACCCCACTAGTTACATTCACAGGTTTGGAGTAGCAAGATCCAAAGCGGACAATTTGGCTACGTTCTTCTAAAAGAGATTTGAGCCAAGATAAAAGGGGATTCTGTATTCCAAATAAGGAGAGTTTTAGAAGAAGACGTTTGTGTGAGACGCTGTCGAAAGCCTTACTAAAGCCGAAGTACAGAATTATCACTGACTGACCAACATCTCTTCTCTGGGTAATTTGATCGAAAAATTCCAGGTGTGATGTGAATCATGAGCGTTTAGTCATAACCCGTGTTGGGATGGGCTAATCAGATTGACCGAAGGCAAAAATGATAACGGCTGTTTGTGGATGATTTTTTCCATGATTCTTAATAGCATGAATGTCAAATTAATTGGCCCATAGTTAACAATATCACTACGTGATCCGGTTTTGAGTCTAGGGATGATAAGAGATGTTTTCCATACAGATGGATAGGCCCTGTGTTCCATAGATATGCTGAAAAGTTTTAAACAAAATAATGGGGATTTTCTTCTACCATATTTCACAGATGACAAAGGAATTCCATCAGGTCCACCGTCATTAGACTTTCCAGGGTAGCTATGACCTGGTTGATTTCGGGGGGTGCGAAACCAATTTTCGATAGATGTCTGGATGTCAGCATTGGAAATGTATTGATAGAGCTTCCAGTTCTAATGTTGTGGCACTGCGAGAAATGCTGGCTGTATCGGTCGCAAATAATATCAGGGTCGTCAACAATGCTTCCGTTAGCTATGGAGAATTTGGTCATGCCAAGAGAATTTGACTTCACAAGCGATTTAAAAAGCCGAAGTCTTGATAATTCCGAGCATTTATTACCTAGGGCTTTATTTTCTATATTCATAAAATACGTGCGTTTAGATGAAGCACTCCTGTTGATTAAGTTAAGTATACTCTGAAGTGCATACACGTCATTATGCTCTTGGTATCGTTGTATTAATTTCCTCAGTTTTTTAAAAAAAAAATTTAAAAGTATTCTAGCCCCTATTAGCGTAATAAGCCACATAGCAATGCAGTCAAGGCAGTATATCAGGTTGTGGTATAGATCAGAGAGCGCAATGCCAATATTATTTGTGATAAAATAAGTTTCCCGTGGTAAGCAACGAATATGAGTTTCAGTCCGTTTCCAGGTTTGTTGGTCAAAGTGTCTACTCTTGTTCGTCATTGCAGCTTTAGAATTCAAGTGTATGACGTCGAAAGAATGAATGATACTCAATACTACTCTGTGATCACTCCTGAAAAACTTATGACTGATATGCACTGAGATAGGATCTATGTTGGTTGTAAACAGTAAATGAAGTATATTATTCCTCCTAGTCGGTTGTCGAACCTGTTGGGCCCGTCCGTAAATTTCTAATGTTTCAACTAACTTGTCATGTCGACCTGGTACCGGAGTCGGACCCCTTGTAATGTTTGGCAGATTAAAATCACCAGAGGGGATTTTAAAAGTATGCGGTTGTTGTGAAGCAATGGAAAAAATGTTTGATAGTAATTTGTCAAACCTATAGTCTGCATGAGGTGGTCCGTATATGCATCCCACCAGTAGATAATTTTGAGATCCACAGTTTACAGTAACCTATGTGGAGTCGTCTATAGCATCGAGAGATTTATACTCTAATTTGCAGGCCTGAATGTCCGAACAGACATAGATAATTTTACCGCCCCTTAATCCATAACATATATCGGTTCTAAAGAAAACGTAGTTATCTATATGCAAATAGTAATCGGATATAGATGAATTGCACCACGTTTCCGTAATAAGTACAATAGTTGGATTTATAAGGAATAAAAGAGTTTTAAGATGAGTAATTTTATTAGGCAGAAAGCGGGCATTGAAGGAAAGAATACGAAATTGAGAATTATCATGGTAAAGAAGGTTAGAGTATAAATCACAATCAGTATTTTCATGGATACTCGTAGGATAGGCTAAGGTAAGAGCTGTATTGCGAGCGGAGATAGATTCAACGACTTTGTCATCATTTGA